TTATGAAACTGAGTGCAGTCTTGTGGTCAGACTCGTTCGCCATCTTCCTCAAATCTCAAAACAAAACATTAAAATTTCAGAAGCACTTGTGAGTTTCCGGAAAGGCTTGATCATTAAATCTGAACTTCTTTCTCTTCGTCTTACAGTGTTAATACGAGTCCGTTGCGGGTCCACTGTGTAAGTCCCAGATCTTATAGACATTACGGAGCAATTGAATTGTTTTGTCATGTTTTGTCGTAAGTCTGTGAGACTGCGTTCATGTCATGTATACTATAGCGACTTGGAAGCACAAGAAATTTGAGGATTCGGGAGAAAGCGCGCTAGCGACCGGAGTTGATCTACTTCCATCTGCTCCTTTCGTGCGCCTTCTCCCAACACGTTGACTCGTCTCTCCTATCCTTCTGAGCTGCAAAGTATGAACGCGGCCCTAGGCAGTTCTCATGGATTGGAACCCTCGCGGTCGGAATTTATGAACAGCGTTGACTACCTACCAATCTTATGAAACTGAGTGCAGTCTTGTGGTCAGACTCGTTCGCCATCTTCCTCAAATCTCAAAACAAAACATTAAAATTTCAGAAGCACTTCTGAGTGCACGGGGCTGGTCTTCCTTCGGGGACCAATGAAATCCCTTGCAACCAAGTGTACCCTCAAATTTAATTTTGTACTAAATGAGGAACTAAACGGAAAATAACTCATCTATCACTTCGGACAGCAAAGTCAGACGTTCTATCCTCGGAATGCGTCGGCTGGCATGCAGAGAAAATTAGAGTGTTTGACGATGAAATCCTAGCGACGCTGTCCGTAAAGCTGGATTGCGGATGCTTCCCGTTGTAGAGTGACGGTTTCCTAAAACCAACATTCGTATGGCTAGCCTCTCCTCCAGTTGCCGCGGATTCAAGGTGGCATCGATTGGTGAAGAACGGGCTGCGCCCCACTCAACGCCCCCTCTCATTGGCAGGGATAACGCTTGCGGTATTGAGTACGAGTCTTCACCTACTCTCAGACAGCTTCACTCATGGACTAAACTTTCCGAATACGTGTCACTGTGTTCTACTTGTCTCTTCCAGGGTCTCAACCTGAAACACTAACTCGAAGAAAATAGCATTTGTTCGATGTTTTTCATCTTCGAACCACACATAGCTGTTCCTGCAGAATGGCGTCATTTCAGAATACATAATGTTCTTTCACTTGTCGATGGAACATGAAGTGTGCCTTCATCCCAAGTATTTCGGAGCAAATCTCAACGAAACCATCAAAATGAAGCTTTTCGCCGAGGTGGAAGGCACGTGTACTGGCAAATTTGGCTTCGTCATCGCTGTGACGACAATCGATACTATCGGACATGGACTTATTCAGCCTGGTTTGTTTTGTGATCAATACCTCAGCAGTACGTAGCACTTTTATCGCTTTCTTCTGGTAGTCCAAATGTTTACAGGTCGCGGATTTGTAATATATCCCGTCAAGTACAAAGCGATTGTATTCCGGCCATTCAAAGGCCAGGTTGTTGATGCTGTGGTTAATCAAGTGGGCATTCTCTTCATAATTAACATCACATTTTTATTCCGCACATCCATGGATGATCTATCCTATTTAATCTAAAAAACTAATAATCTTTCCTATTTTAGGTTAATAAAGTTGGAATATTTTGCGATATCGGTCCACTGTCATGTTTCATTTCAAGGCATTGTATTCCTCCAGACATGGAATTTGACCCGAATTCAAATCCGCCTTGTTACAAAACTGAAGATGAAACCTCAATCATAAAGCAGGATGATGAAATTCGAGTAGGTTCATCTCTTTTCATTGCTTCCTCCCAGATGTGTAACATCATTGAGCGAGTGATTGGTATGCTTATGGGTGCTCTAGTTTTATTGCAGTTCATCCTTAACATTGCCGTTTTGAACGACGGCTGGTTTTGAGCGAATGGAAAGTATAGCCACCGCGTAGCGGTGTACGCCAACGTTTTGAGCGTTTCGCGGGTTGTTCTGAACTTTTCGCGGGCAATCGCCAGAAATGCTGCCGTACGCTGAAAAGCTGACGGTAGTGTTTTCCGCGAGGAAGTATGAACGCCTTAATGCATCCTTACCAGTAACTTCGTCTTCCCTCCTCCCGAGCTTTTTCAATGTTTTGGTCTTCTCAAAGGCATGGATTATTTGTATTTAGGTGAAGCTCATCGGAACTCGAGTTGATGCTAATGACATATTTGCCATTGGTACTCTCATGGACGACTTTTTGGGCCTCTGTTCCACTGAATGACGTTCTACCTGTGATATGGTTTGGTTGTGCCTAATTAATTGAGTGTTTTCTCTATCTGATGAATTGTATTCAAGAATGTTATATGATTTCTGGCGCGATACCCATAGTGGTTATCTTGATTTTGAATTTCGTTTTTTTTTCGCTGTTACATCTCGTTTTTTTATGTCGAGAAGTTACGGTAGAAGCTGACAATTGTGGCCATTACGGTTTCCTCCACTTCGCAAAAACATCCTCTAGTATTACTATTCTTTGATCTCATACTTTTGCCTGTCGATCACCAGCACTTCCCCAGAAGATAATAAAGCATTGATGGTAACAGAGCTTTTTTTTCTTTTGATGTGGTCGTCGCCCCATTCGCTATGTTTAACACCTCTATATCGATTAAGCCATATTTTTCAGTATATATTGACTGGTTTTAGCAATAATGGGCCTATTCGACTTGGCAATGTTCGACGAGTTGCGGAGGATGAACGTTCGTCAGCTCATCTATCAGGTGATCTCTTTGACTTTGACGGTTCTCATGTGATTTTTACACAAACTATTTCTACGTTTACTGGAGGTTTTTGCAATATGTAGCGAGTACATAGAAAACGAGATCATTGTTGAATGGAATGAATGAATGTTGAAAACTCGTCAACTTTAGGGGCTCAACTTCGCAATGGTGGTATCGTCTGCTCTCATGATTTGGAAAGGCTTGATGGTTGTTACTGGATCGGAAAGCCCTATCGTTGTAGTTCTTTCTGGTACTTTATTTTATAGATTTTTCGGTCTCAGCCACATTTCAGTGCAGCTTTTGAGTCTTCTGAGGATCTATTCCTTCATTTTACCGCTGGCGCCCCACACCTCCAAAATCAGTGCATTTGGGAGAAATGAATAGCCTGTTCAATTCGAGTTTTGCAGGGTCTATGGAACCTGCCTTCTTCCGCGGTGATCTTCTTCTTTTGACGAACGACCATACGGACCCGATTCGCGCTGGTGACATAACCGTATTCAAAATTGATGGTCGAGACATACCCATTGTACATCGAGTAATAAAGGTGAGTTTGCTACGAGATCCAATCTTAAGTTTGACATCCTCATCTTAACACTTTATTTTGAAGGTTCATGAGAAATCCCCTCAGGACACCAAGTTCCTCACAAAGGGAGACAATAACCAAGTAAGTGCGGCATGGCCATCATTCTTATCAAATGGGAACTTGCACTAATATCTGAGAAACTTCCTCTACCACTCGGTACGCGATTAAATGCGCTAACAAACGGATGTTGTAGTCTTATGGAATTCATTAGAAATCTGTTATCTTAGTGGAGAAGGTCCCAGGTCGAAGTGACCATTTGTAATGAGACGTAGCTCAAGTGACAGTTTTGGACGCTGATTTTAAGGCCATGGGATTGGATTTCAGGTCATGGGATTGGATCCCTGCTTAGCTTAACTTTTTTTTCTTACACGAACGTGGCAACAATTATTTTTGGCGTTACAACTTTTTCAGTGCACACTTTAACGTACCAGAAAAAGGATTTGCATGCACTCACTACTGCGCGTCGGCGCCTCGTGGCGTATAAGAAGATTTGGGTGCACAGGTACCCGTGGCGCACGAGCAGGCGTTTTCGCGCTTAACGATTGTCATAATCCTATTCAGCGAGCCAAACTACCTTTGGGAAAAAGTTTCTAGCCAAATCTGGCATTTTGACCTGACTTCGAAAAGTGAAGCATCCATGGGTGCAGTTCAGACTTGTCCACACCTATTCAGCTACAGATACATTCTCCTGTTCAAAGCGTCAACTTGCCATTTCTGACGCTTTCATTCTGTTACTGATCAACTTTTCCTTATATCGAAAGCAAATTCCGTGAAGGCCAGCAATATACAAGAGACTGGCCCTAGAACTACTGGTGACCACCATTCGATCTTTCTGCTGCCGCACTTTTTCAAAGTTAGGTCAAGGTCTCACAGTTAGCTAGAAATCTGCCCCGAGTGCTTCCTGCACAAAGCATGACACATTTGGTAATTGAAGGTTTTTTTTCTAGACTCAAAACAGATGTTACTCACAAAATGCAAAAATTGCCCTCCTCAAAACCCGGACCTCCATGGCACACCTATGAAGAAAGACAACCACCACTACACTTGCTACCGATAATTATTGTTGCGCTTCGCGGCTATTCAAGCAAATTGGCTGGCAACCACGCTCGACTCCGTGTTCCTTCATTCGAACAAACCTTCATAATTCCGTTCAGAGAATCGTTCTGCAAATTTCGAAGGCAGATTTGAAATCAGCGTTCAACAACGCGTCCCGTAATACAAATGGCCATTTCGACCTGGCGACCATCCCCAGTTAGTATAGAGCGACTTTTTGCCTCAATACAAGTGAATGCACGCTCATTGGAGGACATATGTTTTGCGGAATAGAAGTGGCTCTTCGACATTACCTTTAGGTGCATCTAATTAATAATAGCACAGACCAAACTGAGTTCCATCCAGGTAAGCAGCAACTTCCCGTATGGCTTTTATTCTAAGTTCCTGCCGTTTTTTTCGAGCGGTCCATTGATACTTCTCGGAGTTGCACTCGACGGCATTGTCCTTTGTCGTCTGAGTGCGCAGTAGCATCTGACGTGAACTCCCTGAATATTCGAAGGGAAGAGCTGCTGCCACTTTGCAGTCAAAAACCAACGGCGCTATTCAACTACCCCAATTTTGCGGATCTTGATCGACTTTTTCCATTTCCAGATTTGGCTGAAATTTGGGTTTGAGGGGTAATTCGTGAACACGAATATCACATCCACTTGGCCTGAAAGTGCCTGGCGCCCGCGCCACAGGCGCCAGTGATTCAGGGCATTTTGGCGCCGGCGCCTGTGGCGCGGGCGCCGAGCGGTTTCAGACCGAGCGGATGATTCGTGTTCAGGAGGTCGAATTACCCCTAGAACCCAACTTTCAGCCAAATCTGCCCCCGTAGAAAAAAGTCGATCAAGATCCGGCCCGTTTTCGGAAAATTGGGGTAGTAATAGTTGAACAGTGCCAAACCAACTGCTGCATGTGATAGAATTGCTTTTCATGGAAGTGACCCAACAGCGAGCCCAGTAGTACCAGAGTTATACAAAGTTCTTAACGAAATAGTTAGACGAAAACACTAAAGGGTGGCTGGCACATGGCTTCCACTGAACTGGATTCGCGCGATGCATTCATCATAAACAACTGATACTGTGTCTATCCATCGATTTTTATAAAAATTCCTCTATTTCCATCACCTGAAATGTGATGCATGCCAAAGTACGTGCATTGTTACCACGCAGCTTAGTCACCTGTAAAGTCTCGCCATTGTTTGAAATTTCTTTGTATTCAAAGAACGATCTCTACTGGCAGATAATGACAGGGATGCCTTAAACGTTCGTGGACGTAGGGAGTCCGCAATTTGGAGAACAGACTGGAGTGAAAAGGAGTTGGAAGAATAAAGGTTTTAGCTATTTGGAAAGTACGATGAAAGGATTAGTTGAACG